AACTAACATATAATTGGATAACTATCTATCTGTCTATTTATTTTACCTAACACAAAACTAGATGTTCGTGACTTTTTTTTAAAATGGGAGCTTAATTAATTTCTATTATCATCAAAATCGATGCACATAGTCTTAAACTTGCTTTCTTGCCATTCTCTTTATATTCTCTCCATTTCTCTCTTGATTATGATTTGAGTCCTATTGTGTTTGATGATTTGGAAGGCAAATATTTTTAATGTTTAATGTTACTAATGGTTAGCTTTAATATTATCAAATATTTATTTAAAACTCTTTCTCTAACTATTGAAGACAATAACAAGGTGTAACCTCTGATTCTGTGATTCCCCGAGAAACTTTGCACAATTCCTTGCCATATCCTAAGTCTCCAGAATTGGTTAAATTTTAGCTTTTATATACAACTTGCTATTGTACTTTTTATTTTATTTTATTTTTCCCCTTTGTCTTTTTTACTGACCGGTAACAGGATTGCAACCCTCGGTGTCGCGCCCGTACCGGGGACCGGCAATGGGATCGCAACCCTCGGTGTTGCGCCCGCACCGCGCTCAGCCAGTGAGCGGGAACCGGTCTCCACATGGGATCCGAACGCTCGGTGGGAGCGCCACCGCGCTCCCAAGCAGTGCACTCTCCAGTGCGCCACCGGGCCGGCCCGCTATTGTACTTTTTAAAGGACAGTATAGTTTTTATTCCTTAGAGAATATTTTTTATATTCAGTATAATTTTGTTTGTAGTAGTTATTTTGTGTTAGCTTATTTTGATGTATCAGCTTTCTCATCAAGTTATTTAGTTTGGTACATGTGTCTCTTATCTGAAATACCTTTTAAAGCTTAAGGAATAAAATAGTACAGGTGCTACTCAGTCAATGAAACTTTCCCTATTTGGGAACAATTTTATTTTGAAAAAGATAATATGTTTTACAAGATTAAATATATGCTGCTTTGATGGCAGTGATGTATATGGGTGTATTAAAATTTTTCACTGAAAAAAAGAGAAGCTTTCGGACTTATCAACACATTTTTCAAACATATAGATCCCTACAGGAAAACACAGCAGTCTTCATAGAATATATGCTGCTTTGAAGAACCAAAACTGTGGAAGGAGATTACTTTTTGGAACCTCCTCTGCATTGCAGTACCTAATTCACATCATTCTTCTTAAGTTCCCGGCATGTATATCTTCTCCACATATTTATCCCTCTGTAAATTTTGTTTGAGGGTAATAACACCTGCTGGGCTTACGCATGTTTTTGGAACTTTCCATACTCGAGCTGAAAAGAATGTTATAGCCCAGGTCACAAATGCTTGGCAGATGTGCACTGAATTTCTCCACCTTAATGCAGTCCAGGGCGATGGGACTTTGTTACATTTTCATTAGCAGTGATAAAACCAGGGATCATTATTTTCCTAATTAGCCATTAATAACAGTTAACTCTGTAAAAGGATCACAGTTTCAGAGTTTGGAGGAAATATTCTTGACAGTGAAATCTAGTGAAAAGTAAACCGGCTCCTTATATTTTCTAAAATATGCTCATCTTATTGATATTATTACTACCACTCATGCCAGATACTTCCTTTTATTTTGTCTGTTTTGTTCTAATTCTGATGCCTAAACAATATAATATTCTAATGGGAATAAACTTTACAAATTAGAGAGTGAATTATAATAATTTTTAAATAAACAAAGTCCTGAAGTATCTAAAGACTGACAGTAAGAAATCTCATTGCATCAGTTATAGAAAAAGCTTTTTTTATAATACGTGTTACAGATGCCCAGACAAATCAATGCAAACAGATCCATTTTTCTTAGGTCTTTAAATGCTTAAGCCACCACCCAGCCTTTGCAATGTCTCTCGGTTGTAGCTGGGAATTTCAGGTGAGGTTTACAATTTCTGAGTTGGTCATACTACCCCAAATGATCCATTGGATGTGGCTGAAAATGCCAGTTTGAAAATATATTCATGGGATTAGGAATGAACAGTTCTTTGCCTGAAATCTTGTGGTTTAGCTTTAGTACTTACTATAGTCAGTCCATTTCTTTGAAATATTGAGCTGTCTGACAGTTTAAAATCCTAAGTTTCCTTTAAACTTGAGCACGGCTTTAGAAGAAAAGGGCTAATGTGAGGGTGGATTTTATGTAAGGCTCTCTGAAGAGAATTCTCTGAAGTGCCTTTGCTGGCAGGTTACTGGGGAGGCTAGCAAGCTGCCTTTTCTCAGGCCTTCTTGGGTTTTGCCCTTAGCCTAGATCAACATTTAGTAAGATAATTTACGTCAGGGCGTCAGTGAAGTCTGTTGTTGGGCTTTGTTAAAGTAATAATTTTCCTTTCATGAAGAAGCATGAAAAGGGCCCAAGTGCTGTGTCCAGGTTTTGTGAAGCCAGTTGGATACTGGGAAAAGTCTTGACGCTTTGCTCTTATACCCTTAATTCCCAGCAGGGTATATTTGTCATCTAAGCTGAAAAACTAATTTTTATAAACATCTTCTGATCAAACTCTTTTTTAGTACGATTCCTTTTCCTTGTGAATGTAGTTGGGTACCACAAATGTATTATAAAAATATGTGGAGAATGCTCCTATACTGCAGAATCATTACTTCCATGTTAAATGTAAAATCCAGACTGGCACTCAGAGTTAAAATGAAGAGAGCGACAGGCAGTAAGATGTGGGTTTTGGTCTCTTGCCTGATACTCAGCACATCATTTGTTCTCTTTGTTTCTTCATCCATACATTGGAGGTAGTTCTACCTGTCCTTACTTACCTTAGAGAACCAGTGGGTAAGAGTTCTGATACTGCTTATGAATTACAGAGCCCACACTGCACACAGATTTTATTATCAGTATAACTATAATGTAACAACAGGGGATTTTGAACTTGAAAATGTATCATAATTATCAAAGGCATGTAATGAAGAATGATGGCTAGGTAAACTTTGAAGGCATATTTAAAAAAATAAATATAGAAAGAAAGAGACCACATTGGAGGAGATAAGATCTGAGTTTCAAAAAACATTTTGACCTCAGAAGCACAGAGAAGGTGAGGGTGAACATTCCAGACAGAGGGAATCTAGTATGAAAAAGTACAGGGCAGGAATGGACATGGAATGTTCAGGAAATGGAGAGAAGGTAATTTTAGGTTAAGTTCCTTTTTTAGTATGAGTATAAAATTGAAAACTTGAAGAGAATGACAATATTCTGATCTTTTATTCTGTAGTAATAAGAAAAGGCTCATACAGCTTGCATCTGAATTAACTTAGAATTAGCAGGTTTAGCATTAACTTTGGAGAGAACTAAGTACTTATGGGCTCAGGAGGATACAAAATAAAATTAGCATCAATTTTCTGGGCACCATTACAGAAGATTTCCTGGAGAAAGGGGTTTTAGAAGAAAGTGATAGAAGTGGATTTGTACAAAGGTTGAAAGCAAAAAAGAATGCTCTATTTTGGGGATTTGGGGTAGCTGACTCGATGAATCATATGACCCAAAGTGAGGTCTGAGCTGTAGTCTTTGAGGAGGTTCCTTAAAGGTACAAGGAATGTTGATTCAGACCCACTCTCTATTCATCTTGGTTCCGTCTTCCATCTTGGTTCCAGAGTCACTTGAAACCCTGTAGGTAAAAGTTTGCTCTACCCTAGTGCTTGTTCTGCTCTTTGAAGCTTCCTCCTGCCTAGAAAAATGGAATTTGTGTTTAGTTTGCGACTTTACATGTTCTCATCTATGCACCCTCTCTAATGTTTCTTCCTATTTTCTACGAAAAGGAGCTCTGTTTCAGATGAGAGTCCTTCTGATCATTTCCTAGCATGTTGCTTTTCCTGCCTTTGCTTTCTGCCTTTCTCCCATCACGAATGTCTTCCCCTGTCCTCTCAGACATAGGAGCTCAATCCACTTTTAAAATCCAAGTCTTCAGAAATCCTCTGACTGTCACTGGCTACTTTCTGGTTTTCATTTAGCATGTATTTCCTTCTGTTATATTTCCTTGTCTTGCACCATCTTTATCTTGCTACATTGAGAATATTGTAAAAGGGCTATGTCTTCTGCATCACACTGCTAGGTGTCTCCGAAAATGTGGTTGACAATGAATCATAGACTAATGGTCCATATATATGTAACTTAGTCTCATGTAGACTGATTTTCAATTCTGTGTGTTTCTTCATTTTTTTTTTTTTTGTCTTTTGTCTTTTTTCCATGTCCGGCAACGGATCGCAACCCTCAGTGTTGCCCCCGTACCGGACGGGGACCGGCAACGGGATTGCAACCCTCGGTGTTGCTCCCGCACCTTGCTCAGCCAGTGAGCGGGAACCGGTCTGCATGTGGGATCCGAACCCTCGGGCGGGAGCGCCGCCGCGCTTCCCAAGCGGCGCACTATCCAGTGCGCCACCGGGCCGGCCCGTTAACTTATTAAACTATAGCCTTAATCGGTACTTTTTAATATTTGGCAGGAAATCTGCCGAATGTTGTCTCGAAAAACATCATTTGTGTCTTCCCAGTTGTTGAAGGATAACAACATAGCATCTTAGCATTTTCTCCTAAGAGAGGAAAACCTATTTATTTTGCTGTTTTATTGTTTCTTTTTTTTTGAGAAGAGGAGAGAAGTAAGGTGGGAAATCATAGTTGGTGTAATCTGGCTTTAGTTTATTCAATGTTTTTGATCTTTTTAATAGTAGGAAAAAATCACAATGAAGCTGAAGAAAAAAATCTAAGGGAAGACTACTTTTCAGTCGTGAACTTGGTCAGGCTTTTAAGGTGTCTATTTAAGGCTTGCTCACTCTCACCCACATTGGCATTTCATGGTGGATGTTTTGCTTATTCTGCTCTCCCTTCTTTTTTTTCTATGGCAGCTTGCCTGGTGGTATTATGAAACTGAAAAGAATGCTAAAGATTCGGACCTTAAATTGTTCACTCTTGACAAGGTTCAAAGAACAGGAGCTAAGACACAGTTGTGTGGGGAGACCACTGACTTTTGCCTTTGTGCTCTTTTCTTTTGCCTTTAGCTCAAGCCAGGGCAGAACAGCTGCAGGGACAGTGACAGTGAAAGCGCCAGTGGAGAATCCAAGGGCTTCCAGCGGAGCAGCTCTCGGGAAAGGCTCAGTGATGTAAGTTTAACACCCAACAGACACACACCCTGGATTCAGGTGCCAATTGTGTAACTCTCCCCTCACTTCAGATCACTTTGAGTACCAAGGCATTATAGTTCACATGTTTGAGTGTACGCATGTTTGAGCTTTGCACATATGGTGTCATTCTAAGATGTCGTTTGACTTAATATGTATTTTAACAAAGTATAAGATAGGAGGGAGTATTTGTTACCTTAGACACAACAGATTACAAAGAGAAGTATTAATATTTTTATTGTCAGTGTTATAAATGAAAGAAGTAACCAGGAGGTGCTACAACTAGCAGATGACATCATTTAGCTATGGGATTTTTATAATTTCTTCACCTAGGGAATTGGTGACAATCCATTTTTTGCATTTTATTCCTGTTGGAAGGGATGACTAACTAGCCACTTGGTGAGAGCAGGAATTATATTTCTTGTTAGATTTGCGAGGATAACCTTGTGAGAATACGCCATACCACTTCAGCTGTCTGTCAGCCCTCTAGACCTGGCCCTGACCATTCTCAAGCCTTCTATTCACCCACAAGGCAGATTCCTTTTTGCTACTCCTGAGGACCACCTGCCCCTCTTCAAGACTCTCTAGCCTTCTTCTCTCATGTTTCATAATATAACAGCATTCTTGGTCCATCTTTGCCCCTGTGGAAACTCTCTGTGAAACGGATCAAGTGGAAATTTTTATTATTGTTAGCAACAAAGTAAAATTGACAGAGAGAGTACCATGAAGGAAAGAGACTGCAGTTCAGAGTTTCTGAGTGTTAAGAAGCGGCAGCAGCGTAGGATGTATAATGAGCAAATCCTTCACCTCTTGTCTTTTTTTTTTCTTTAATACTGTAAAGCAATGGTCTTCATTAAGGTGTGCTAGATGATCCATTGAGTTACAGGAAGAAAATATTAGTACTTATTTTTTGTCCGAAAAAATCTTTACTAGTATTCAATTTAATAAGCAGATAGTAGTTGATGTATATAATTTTTAAACACATATATTTTAGAATTGTGAACTCAAAACTTCTTTTACTAAGAGGTGGTCACTAGCATAAAAGGTTGCAGACCACTGTATTGCACTGAGCCATTCCCCACAATAACACCACAACCATTTCTCCATCAGCCGTGCTGGACAACCTGAAGACACAACCACCTTCCTGCACCTCTCAGGAAAGTTTGTGACATTTAGGGTGAGATTTGATGTATGGTACGTTGAATTCTTATTAAAATTAAGTGGAGTAAGCAAAGTAGAATTATTTTTATGGTATTCTAAATATATTAGTTATAGATAATTACTTCATCTTCATCTAATGTTGTATAATATCAATTATATAAATACAGAGTACTCAGTCATTTGCTGTATGAGTACTTCTATGTATCAAAATATGGTTCATTGTGCGTTTATGTGTTTCACTAATTTTGTGGTGGAACTATGTAAACATAAAACCATAACTTTTCTTACTTAAGTTGTTAACAATAATACTTAATCCTTAAATAGCTGTTTTCTGAGATTTTGTTATGTTTTTAATGTGAGATTTCATTGACCCTGGAAATTTTTTCAGGGTGGGTCCTATTTTCTTCACATAGTAGAGAAATGAAAGCTACAGTTATTGAGATCTTTTGGCTGTTGCCCTGAACTCACTTTCTATTAGATCAAAAGAGACTGGCAAAAAACATTCCATATTCATGAATAAGAATTAATATTGTTTTTATTTTATTTTATTTTATTTTTTTATTTTGTCAATATACAATGTGGTTGATTATTGTGGCCAATTACTGAAAACTCCCTCCCAGCTCCCTCTCCCTCTTCCCAACCAACAATGTCCTTTCTGTTTGCTTGTCGTATCAACTTCAAGGAATTGTAATTGTTATGTCTTCTCCCCCCCCCCACATTTTTTTGTGTATTTATTTATTTTTAGCTCCCACAAATAAGTGAGAAGATGTGATATTTCTCTTCCTGCACCTGACTTGTTTCACTTAATATAATTCTCTCTAGATCTATCCATATCATTGCAAGTGGCAGTGTTTCATTCCTTTTTATAGCAGAGTAGTATTCCATTGTGTATGTACCACATTTTCCATATCTACTCATCTTAAAATGGACATTTGGGCTGGTTCCAACTCTTAGCTATTGTAAAGAGTGCTGCAGTGAACATTGGGGAATAGGTATACCCTTCGACTTGATGATTTCCATTCCTCTGGGTATATTTCCAGCAGCGGGATAGCTGGGTCATATGGTCGATCTATCTGCAATTGTTTGCGGAACCTCCATACCATTTTCCATAGAGGCTGCACCATTTTGCATTTTCTTGTATTAATTTTATATCCTGCTACTTTTCTGAAATCATTTATCAACTCCAAGAGTCTTTTTGTAGAGTCTTTAGGCTGTTCAATATATAAGGATCATGTCATCTGCAAACAGGGACAGTTTGACTTCATCTTTTCCAATCTGGTTGCCCTTTATTTCCTTCTCTTCTCTGATTGCTCTGGCTAGTACTTCCAACACTATGTTGAAAAGGAGTGGTGAGAGTGGGCATCCTTGTCTGGTTCCTGTTCTAAAAGGAAAAGCTATCAGCTTTTCCCCATTCAGGATGATATTGGCAGTGGGTTTATCATATATGGCTTTTATTATGTTGAGATACTTTCCATCTATACCTAAATTATAGAGTGTCTTTGTCATGAATGAATGTTGAATTTTATCAAATGCTTTTTCAGCATCTATAGAGATGATCATATGGTCCTTGTGTTTGATTTTATTAATATGGTGTATCACATTTATTGATTTGCATATGCTGAACCAACCTTGCATCCCTGGGATCGTGAGGATTTTTGCATCTATGTTCATCAAGGATATCGGCCTGTAGTTTTCTTTTTTAGTTGTATCTTTACCTGGTTTTGGTATCAGGGTGATGTTTGCTTCATAAAATGAGTTTGGGAGATTTGCCTCTGTTTTAATCTTTTGGAATAGTTTGTAAATTACTGGTATCAATTCCTCTTTGAATGTTTGGTAAAATTCTGCTTTGAGTCCATCTGGTCCTGGGCCTTTCTTTGTTGGGAGCCTTCTGATAACAGCTTCAATCTCCTTTATTGTTATTGGTCTGTTCAGATTTTCTACGTCTTCTTGGCTCAGTTTTGGGAGCTTGTGTGTGTCCAGAAATTTATCCATTTCCTCCAGATTTTCAAATTTGTTGGCGTATAGTTGTTCATAGTAGTTGCGAACGATTCCTTGTATTTCAGATGTATCAGTTGTAATATCAAATCTTTTGGAATAGTTTGTATAGAATCGGTGTCATTTCTTCTTTGAATGTTTGGTAAAATTCTGCTGTGAATCCATCTGGTCCCGGGCTTTTCTTTTTTGGGAGCTTTTTGATAACATCTTCAATCTCCTTTATTGTTATTGGCCTGTTCAGGTTTTCTGTATCTTCTTGGTTTAATTTTGGAAGCTTGTGTGAGTCCAGGAATTTATCCATTTCCTCCAGGTTTTCGAACTTGTTGGCGTATAGCTGTTTATAGTAGTCTCGGATGATTCGTTGTATTTCATTTGGGTCAGTTGTAATATCACCTTTTTCATTTCTAATTTTTGTTATTTGAATCTTCTCTCTTCTTTTTTTTGTTAGCCATGCAAGTGGTTTGTCGATTTTATTTATCTTTTCAAAAAACCAACTTTTTGATTTGTTGATCTTTTGTATTGTTTTTTGGTTTTTAATTTCATTAAGTTCTGCTCTGATCTTACTGATTTCTTTCCGTCTGCTAACTTTGGGTTTGGATTGTTCTTGTTTATCTAGTTCTTTAAGGTGAAGTGTTAGGTTGTTCACTTGCCGTTCACTTGCCAGCTTTCCATTTTTCTGAGGTAGGCATTTAATGCAATAAATTTCCCCCTTAGTACTGCTTTTGCAGTATCCCACAGGTTTTGGTATGATGTATCATTATTTTCATTAGTTTCAATAAATTTTTTTATTTCCTGCTTGATTTCTTCTTGGACCCATATGTCATTAAGTATAATGGTATTTAATTTCCATGTGTTTGAATAGTTTCCAGAATTTCATTTGTTATTGATTTCTAATTTTAATCCATTGTGGTCTGAGAAAATACATGGGATAATTCCAATGTTTTTGAATTTGTTGAGACTTGATTTGTGACCTAATATGTGATCTATCCTGGAGAATGATCCATGTGCTGATTAGATGAATGAATACTCTGAGTTTGTTGGGTGGAATGTTATGTAGATATCTGCCATAATTAATATTGTTAAGATGTCAATACTATCCTAGACTATGTGAAGATTCAATGCAATCCTTATGAAAATACCAACAACGTTTTTGGAAAAAATGGAAAAGGATGTTCTCAAATGCATATCGAATGGTATGAAGACCCAAAAAACCAACACAGTCTTGAAAAAGAACAAAGTTGGAAGATTCGCAATTCCCAATTTCAAAACTTACTGCAAAGCTACAGAAATCAAAACAGTATGATACTGGCATAATGTTATATGTATAGACCAATGGAATACTGTTGAGAATCCAGCAATAAACCCATGGTCAACTGATTTTCAATAAGGGTGCTAAATCTATTCAATGGAGAAAGAATTTTCTCTTCAACAGATGGTGCTGGGACAACTGGATTTCCACATGCAAAATAATTAAGTTGGACCCTTTTATCATACTATTTAGAAAAATAAACTCAAAATGCGACCCAAATATAAATGCTATAGTCATAAAATTCTTAGAAGAAAACATAGGTCAATCTTCATGACCTTGGATTTTGCAGTGGATTCTTACATATGACACCAAAAGCATGAAATAATAAAGAAGAAATAGATAAATTGGGCTTCATCAAAATTAATAACTTTCATGTATCAAAGGACATTATCAAGAGAGTAAACAGACAACTTACAGAATGGGAGAAAATATTTGCAAATCATATTATTTATAATCATTTAATATTCAGAATATGTAAGGAACTTCTACAACCCAACAACAAAAAGACTAACAACCT